TTTTCAAACCAAAATGAAAACCCTAATGGCAGTTTGATCATTGTCCACTAAGAGGGCTATTTTAAGTCGGCAACTGAATAAATGGTCTTATTAAATTTTATAATATTCCATCTCAGACCTTTTGCACGAAGGATTTACGCTTATTCAACTCCGGTAGACGTTCACCTGCCTCCACCAAACCAGACAGTAAGTGGTTTTGGTAAGCGTCCCGAAAAAAAATGAAGAGAATGTTAGATCCATACATCTTTTTCTGATGCCTTATTTTTCTGGATTTAATGGATCGCCATTATATGTACTTGACTGCATTTATAAAACAGCAATCATTCCTTTTATTCTCTAATGCAAGTAAGTGTTACACGTCCAAGAGCATTGGCTTATTCAGGTCACATTAGTTTGATTTTTCTTCGGCCACTTTCATTATCTCCTCTCCTCCTTTCTGAGATATTTCACAGCCTGGATCGGGAATGGGAAGCTTCGTTTAATCTTCTAATGCTGCTTTCTGTTTGGGTTCCACGCCGCACTCATAGTGTCAACAGTTGCCTCGTTCTTGTAGGGGTGGAGGTGGATGTTCTGACCATGTTGACAAGTTTGTTACTGAATTCAGATCTCCGGACTAGGGTTGAATTTTCCTGCATTGGATGATGAGTGGCTTAAGGCCACCGACGAACCTATTGCCTACTTATCGTCTTCTTGTTTCTTAACACTCTAGCCTCTTCTTATTTCGCTTTGATATATTAAGGACAATATCTTCTGATTCATGTCATACCAACAGCAGAGTTGTTCTGTTTTCATCAACTCTCAGGCTCTATCTTGTAGCTATAGTCTTATTTAGGGTCTTATGAGCACGAAACGCTGACGCAAGGATTGCGGAGTTTACTGAAGACCGGGTAGATAAATCACCTAATATTTCTGAGTGGAAGACTATCGCGGACATGCTAGTAGCCCAACTCATTGCGAATGAATGGATGGCAGACGGATGGACAGGCAGATATTGAAGTAACGTTGTTTTCGTCCATATGAGGTAGGTCTATTCCTAGAACGCGGGACCCTTAATTTTTCGTGTGAGAGGGAATTTCAAACCACACTCCAGTATGCATACAGAGTATGCCAGTTATTTACATCGAGATTTGGGAGTAATGAATCCCCACGAGATTTATATGTTTACGAAGTAAGTGAGAATCGCACCAACACACACTCATATTAATTATGTATCTGTATTGTCATATGAGACGTCGGGTGTTATTGGACAAGATCTTCGGGGCAAATTTTAATATGCAAGTGGGAATTGGCGCGCATAGTCATATATGCTTGTCCTAGAGTAAAAACATGGAGGAGTGCTCTTGTGTTACTCCAAACTTTGGCCGGAACGAGCTTGAATGGCTATGGTCGTACAATATTAGTCAAAAATAGAGCCCAAGTATTCAAGTTGGCGGTCTCTACTTCCAATAATTTTTAAGCCACCTATATGATTATGTCAAACAATCAAAGTTAAGAAATACCATTCTTAATTCATTTTAATTGTAATTTAGAGTACAAAGTGCTCATTCGTTTCCAAACTTAAACCAAATATTCCGAGTATAAGTAACACCTCGTATTTTAGTATTACGTATTGTAAAGGTGCATGTAATTTTGACGGCGGTATATAAATGACCAAATAAGATTTTTAAATATTAATACAGATTTATCAAAAAGGGTTTTCGATATCTAAAAGGAAAACCCAGTGCATTCAGACAATTTTGGTGCTAGTCAAGCTGTTTCCGGCCGGTTTCACTGACAGCAGATATTCTTCCGACTTCGATACACTTTGGTCCGCATATACTGTATCTTATTAGGATATGTATTCCTTCGTCTCTCCTTCTCAACTGATTGGTGCCTCCCGTCCAACTTCTGGAATTCATTGCCACTCATCTAAAACTTCTTCACAGGCTAATTTCGTTTTGACTGGTCCTCATTGCAGAGGTTCCTGGTGACTGCCTCCTTCATTCCAAAATAGTTAAAATGACTTACCTCCCAATTCCAGTCTGGAGTAGGTCCTCGTCGACAATCAGTCTGTTGTAATTCACCTAATGCTTTTTTACTGAAGACCATGGCAAGAGCCTCTCGCTGTTATTATGATGAATGAGTTGAATAAATAAATTAATCTGACTGGTTGAATAGCACGGTTCGCACCTCTTTATGTCACAGGAGAATGATTATGAAGGAAAACATTCCTCAGATTCGGCAGGAGAACGTGATTTTTTTTTAAAGTTAAAGAGCCTCAAGAAGAACGTGAAAGGCCATGTGAAAAAGTTTTTCTTCTCTCTCCCCGCCCCGCCCAGCCCAGCCCCGCCCCGCCCCAAAACTGCCGCGACCCAAGCCGTCTTAACCGCCCAGCCCCGAACAAGTAAGATATTATGTAAACACAGTCAGTTTGACATTAATATTTGTAAGAATTTAAACTGCTCTTTATAAAGCGACCAGAAATGGTATACAAAAATGCAGTGGGAAAATAACGTTTTGGGTGGGAATGTTGAACGCCTTGATACAACTATATGGTCTTATACTAAGAAACAGAAAGAAGTTTTGTACAATTCAACTAGTAGTTTAATTCTCTAGAAGAAAATGTAAAACTTGAAGAGGAATTTTAGTAATGTGAAATAAGCCCAAATCATCTATCACAAATTCAAAAGTAAAGAATATTCCGAATGGATTTCAATAATATTGACTGTGCTGATGTCGAAATAGTCTTGAAGTAATTTATGTATCAATAGTCTTGATGCACCTCAGTGATGTGCTTCAGCATGTCTTTCAATAAGTCCTTAATAATCCTCAACAAAGTGTTTTTGTCCAAAATGTAAATGACCAATCTGTACTTTCAATGCATAATTTAAATATATAATTCGTCTCAAATTATAGCACCATACAACTAAAATTGATTTCATACAATGATCACAAAATATGAACAAAGACGCTGTTGAACAAAACCTCTTTTATATGCATCCTTACATGACGTTTGTTGTAATAGCATTTTATCAGAAATAACTAAAGCATTAATAGTAAACTTCACCAAACTGTAAACAAACTCGTTTCTAGAACCTTCTAAGGTCACAACCAAGGAAAGATCTTGGGATTTTAATTCAAGTAAAAGTCTTTCAAAAAATAGTAATATTCAGGTCTTGTCATAATTATATACTAAATTGTGGACAATAGTCAAGTACACACTATAAGTTAAATGTACATAAGCTTATTATTCTATTAGGCTTATTGGCGTGGCACCTACGTGGTTAGCATGATGTGCACCTGCTCAGGGGTATTGTCAGTTATCGTGTGGTGTCTTTGGATAAATTACATTACTCTTGTTTCCCAACTGTGGCCAAATGTTCTAAGTTTGACCTTAAAGTGGTCTAAGCCAAACCAAACCATGATGCAGTTGTGTATCGTACATGCACACCAATATTTTCTTGCCGGATTTATGGACGTAGAACTTAGACAAAAGCTCAGTAGCGATATGACTGAAAGTTGTTTCAAGCTACGTTAAAAATAAAAATCAGAGAGAGAGAGAGAGAGAGAGAGAGAGAGAGAGAGAGAGAGAGAGAGAGAGAGAGAGAGAGAGAGAGAGAGAGAGAGAGAGAGAGAGAGAGAATTAAATATATGCTTATTGACACTTTGCAGAGCAGATACAACTTACAACTTCTGACTGGTTTGCAAAAAGGTATTTACATAAATAATGTAATATCCATCTATGAAAAATTATGCTGTATTGATAGAGTTCAACCAAGTAAGGAGACGCCATTCTTTAATCAGAAAGAAAGGATCATTGATAAAGCTGAGTATTGACATCCCATACCTCCTCATCCAAACCCAGAAAATATAAGCCAAGAAAATGAACTTTCTAATGTTTATTTGACATCTAGTGAAGATTTTATATGCATTTTAGTCACTGTCACTGTCAGTGGAAATAATGCATGTCCATTTTCGTGGCAGTAAATTAGAATCAGAAGCTGGAGCGAAGAACTTCAACTTATGATTATCTGTGTAACTAATCAATTTATGTATCGCGGAAAGCCACTAATGCAAGGAATAGCATATTACTAAGTAAGGAATTCAAAGCTCACCGCTAGAAGTTTCACAAAAAGGAAACTGTTAAATTTACAACGGTTTTAGTGGAGTATCAACGTCAGAGGCGTAGCTTACAACGTTACATTATAATAAGTAAAATAGAAAAATGTGAGTAAACGGGGAGGGGGTGGGGCGCCAATTTTATAGTTCGTCCCCGGGCGCAAAATATGATAGCTACGCCTCTGATCAATATAGCTCCACTATATATTGCTGCAAAAAATAGAAATTAAACATTGCTTCTCTGTTTATGATAGCACGCTTCCTAATTTATCCCTGGATTATATTTACACCCATCCTCCGCAAGTTCCCGTATAAACTATAGCAACAGCTATAAGGAGTAACGTTCTAATTAACCGGACTTATTAATGAACACTTGTACGAGAGATCAGATTGTGAAAATGCATGCACATGTTTGAATCTGGCACTTTTTAAATTCGGCAGGACTCATAATGTCATGAAAATGTTTAATTTTTTGTGCCAGGAGTCTAATGAAAACGTGCAATGCCGGTTTGCATTATCGGGCTAACTAATTCATCCTTGATTCAGAGCATATTTTTGTTTAACCTCATGAGAATTTACGAACCTATGTAAATATAAATAGCTAGCAGCGGGATTAAATTCTTGTTTAGTTCAGACCTTTTTTATTTGACGATTTTTCATCTCTTAGATGCACAGCTTTAATTCATCGAAGCGATCGAAAATGATGCTCTTAATATTTGAACTGATTTTTCTTTTATTTTTATGGCGTGCCTTCAACCATGACCAAGGATAAAATAAATAATCAGGTGTGCCTGAGTCTATCCTTACACTGTCAATCTATTCCTTTCTCTATCAAATATACCGACTCGCTGATATAAAAAGCTTTCTCTGAATATAACTGGAATAGTAGATTCTAAATTTACATCTTGACTGGCCTAGTGGTTAGAGCATCTATCTCGGATTCAGGAGGTCGCGGATTCAAACCCCGGCTGAGACATACCAATGACCTATCAACAACTTAGTTCTAGTAACTGCCTCGCTAAGCGCTCAGCAATAATAGGTTAGTATTAGGACTGGTCGGTTTGGTAGCAGAATACTGAGAATAATGTGACTAGATGAAACATCATGACCCAGTGTTAGACATCATTACAAACTTTCGCACTGCAGAAAGAATCGATATAACTGAAAAATTTTAAGAGCTAAATTCCAAAATCGCACATAATTCATGACTTTACAGAAATAATTTGAATCTTGCGTGAGTTGCTCTCAGATAGCTCTTTAGCAGAGTGGCAGTTTATAGTGATGACTAACACTGGGGAATCATGTCGCAAACATATATGTAGCATGATGTTCTACCAAGTCACATTATCCTGACGCCTGGCAGACCAGTCCTAACACTAGCCTCTTAATTCTGAGCGCTAAGCGAGGCAGCTGTTAGTACCATTTTTATAAGTCATTAGTTTGACTCAGCCGGGGATAAAAACCACGACCTTCCGCATCCGAGGCCGACACTCTAATCACTAGGCCACCGGAGTGGTGTAAACTCGGTATGTATACATGCTGATAAAAAGAAAGGTACTAAACTATGGCGAATAATAATGACATAACTGATTATTGTTATACATTTCTTTAACGTCATTTTATCTATCTCAGTCAGGGACATATTAATGATTTTTTGTGTTACACATATCAAATAGTTTTCTGCATGAAGTCAATATTGCATTACCCCAATATATTCCTTGGTTTAACTTTCCTTAATATGCTAGTGCCAAATGTAAATAATTACATACCAATAAGCAGCTTGCAATCTGTTTCTTGTTGTTAATCAATGCTATCTTTAAAATCCGTAGATTCTAATTAATGAAATATAAAATTCAATTTAGTCCGTCTAAATCTACATTTATGTGGTTAGATACACAGAATAACTCCGCCAAACATAAATGGTAAGCATCCGTAAGAAATCTACTTCTTAAACATCGTGTATATTTCAGACAGTCTATACGAGAAACACTATAAAAGAGAAAAATTAATTGTCTGTGGGAATAACGGATATACTTCATCTCCCAAATGACCAGCTCTGCGGTGCCGTTTTAAGGCACTGACACGCGAGACGAGTATTAGCAGTTTAGTACTATATTATTAAATTTAACAAAATGACACAAGTGCACATATAAATGCAATGCAATATTCTCAATCTGAGACAGAACGATTGTTGCGCAATTCTGGTTACTTTTGCGTTTAGAGTTTGTACCTAGGGATGCAAGTCGTCTTGAAACGGCTCTGCAACTCTGGTATATTCAGCCACTTATTTACACATAGTCATGCTGGATTGACCTTTACAGTTTCAAATACGAATCGTTGTTACATAACCTCGTTATTAAAAAATCGGCAATTATATCAGATTTCTTTTCCCGACCTGGTGTAGATGTTAAATATTTTGATTCTACCCTAACAGAGGTGTGTAGAGAACTTAAGATAAGTAATGAAGCCAATCATAATTCGTATCACAAAGCTTCAGGAGACGTCACAACGTGTCTGATTCACCGAGACAATGGTACATATTCTTGAAAGTCGTGTATCGACACATCCTAGAAATATTTATCGCCTATGCCCTTTGCTTCAGCCGGCTTCAGAATAACAATTTGTGAACCACGAATATGTCCTTTCGCAGTCATCTGACGTACTAGATTCACCTAAATGCCTTAGTACATTAGCGATCATACCACGTGTCACGTGCTCCACGTTTCATTCTGCGCAGACTACTCAACACAGCGAGGCATTATACTTCAAAATCCTTTTCAACTGAGATAACTGTAACAATATGTTCGTAACGTGTACCATGTGTCCATGGTAACTCATGCGAATTTTACGACAGCCAAACAACTTCCAATGACATATACTCCGAATACCAACGACAGAGATAGCTTTTTGGGGGAATGGATGCAAAGATGGTGTCTCAATCATACCCAGTACTTCCTTTATTTATCTTAAGGTATGTTTGCCCAGACTGAAGCATTTAGAACGTACCGATTGTGTTACATCGCATCCAGATTTGAACAGGCACCATCCATTCCTCATCACTTACACAATTCTCTTTATCCTATACTAGTCATTTATTAATTTAAAATTTTGTTGCTGATAAAGTTCCATCCAATAATTTTCGTATTGGTTTTAATATTTTAAATTGGCGTTTACAATTCGCAAATCTAAATAGTATATGCATTCTGTAAAACAATGCACGGACTTAAATCATCCACTGAACATTTTCCGACATCTTTAGTGTACGTGAAGCATTTTAAATAATTATATTGGTGATAACGAAACACCATTAAAAAGGTTCCAGTTTGCAGAGAAAAGACAACCGATATAGATTTGAGAGGAGTGATATTTGTTTATATTTCCAATCATTTTAAATACAAACCTAGATCGTCTTTCTCGACTTTGTCCTCCGATTTGTAAAGCACGACATAGCCAATATTTGGTTAAAAGTGACATTTAGAACAAGTACTAGGTCCTGAAAATCACAAACTGTTCTTTGAACTTGCCACTCTCTACACCTAATGTTCAATATATCCTAATGGGCAATTTTTTACATATCTGTTTTTTGAATCAAACTTATAAAATATGAAATGATATAATTCTTTCTATTTACCTTGCCTAGCTTGCTAAAATGAATAAGGTTAATCGAGTCAACATCTACTTCGATTGTCCATATTTGCACTATTCATTCACAGTCCATACACAAAACAATTATATGGTCTGTTTATCGGGAAATGCAAACCATACAAAACATCAAATAAAAATGGTATGCCTATCCAGACTGATATTCAGCCTTTACAGAAGTGGTTCAAGCAAAGTAAATTGTCCCTAAAACTATCTAAATCTAATTGTATGACAATTGGACCCACCCATAAACCGTAGATAGTTCACTTCTCTCCAGAATTGTTCTCAGCGACTTTGAAGAACACTCTATATATATTCTCAAATATATTATGGTACCTTCATTGGTAACAATTCTCATTATGACACCCACCCCTACCTCCGCAAAAAAGCAAGCCAAGAAAACCACCCATAAAGTACCTCGAATCTTGAAAAAGTTTTCAACATGACTTCGTAGAAATATAAACTAAAAGTTATTTTAATAAAAAATGTATTCTTTTATTTTTGTTTTTCCTAGCTATTTTATCTTGTTTGCTTGCTCTTTATATCTACCGTGGCTTGAATAATTTTTATTTTAAAGCTTATAGTACTATATATTCATAATATGATCCGTGGACTCAATACGCGATGGCCCTGATGCCAAATGATTCCTAAGCACGAACACTGAATTTATATAAATCGGTATTAACATAAATATACCAGGTCAGTTTTTTTTAAAACATATGTATATAAACGGAAAGCAAAAATAATGACGGCTGTTATATCGAACAAGGACATATAAAAGAAAATGTTCATCAAATAATACTTGGAACATTCTTTTATATGGAGCAATGAGATTCTAAAATCAAATACATCTTTTATTGTGTACTCATTCGGTCACAAACGCCATGAACTACGACACTGTATATGGACGATATGCAAGTGATGTTTCATTTATTCGTCCATTCATTCGTTCAAAACTCCTTCATTTCTTTTGTACGCCCATTTGTCAACATTGCACACCATTCCTCATTCGTTAATTTATTTAAGAAATACACTCATACATACGTTATACTTTCATTCAACCACATTCCCACTCAACGTCTGACAATCTTTCACTTCCAACTATATTTATCTTCTCTGCTGTCTAATATTACCTCCCTTTAAGTAAAAGAAACTGCTATGAAATGTTGACACTCTACATAACACTATGCTCAATGTGTGTCTTGAAAAAAATGTATTTTTGGGGACTAATTTTAAAATTTTTTGGATTTACTGGGGTCTTATAAAATAAAATGCCAGCTGCTATTCATTTTTTTAAATTTAAAATGTTTCTTTACATGAGCAGAGAGCAGTAAATTAAAATTCGAGGAAATACTAAACAAAAGTTGACATACTATTGCAAAGTAACATATTTTCTATCATTAAACATGACGCCAATGGCTACATGTATTATTTATATTTTGCTGGCAATGCATTCCTGTTTTGGATTGCATTCCTAATCCACTTATTTCAAAACTCCAATTCAGGCTAGGGGCATCAGTTAAAATTTTTAATATTATCATGGAAGAAAATAAAATGTTGCTCTTTCTAAATTGTCTTGTGCTAAACTTATAAAAGGGACAGATTCGCACGATTTGGGATTGTTGCTTTCTATAAATATCATTAATCGAGTACAGGAGCGTGAGTACAAGGTATGGTGCAAACATAACTTTTTCTGGACTCTGGGGCCGATTGTCTAAAGCAAAAGATGATTAGATATATTCTCCTTGTTTAGTCAAAGCTACTTCACTTTCCACACAATATTCTCATCGGAGGGCTAGCAGTAACAACTTAATACATATACGAAATTGTGTATGTCATTTTACAAGCAGAGGACAGAACAAGGTTACTGAATCAATATGGAAAAAATGCCAAAAACTTGACTACATGGTTACTTCTGAAATGTCACTATAATATTATTTTATAATTCAAGAAAGCACTCAATTATATGCGCATTAATTACTGAGAGTGGTTGGGTGTCACTACTTCAAGCAGCAACAACGCAATGCAGTAACGAAATAAAAGCTTGAAAATTGTTTGTATTTTTGTTATACCTGATCGAAGTAAGCGGTAGTACTTTAGACAAAAAAAACTGACGTATGATATTTTCTTGCGAAACAAATTACTTGTGAGAACATTTACGACACAGATGGAATGAAAATAATACAATGAAACGTCACTCTGAATAGTTTGTTTCAATGATTCAGTAGGAAATCTGGTTGACTTGACAAACGCAGATATAATTTATTTCAGATTGCACGCAATTTTGTCAAAGAATACTTTCACGTCACTTTTTATGACTGTTAGTTTATTTTT